GTGTGTCTGAGACAGGCCTGCAGCACTGGTCTGCATGTTCCCTGAGCAAATGAGTGTTTCTGCCACTGGAGTTCTCCCCCAGCCCCCCAGCCCTCACCCCCGTGGCAGGTTCCACTGGCAGAGGCCCTGGATTGACACCTGGGCCTCTGCCCCCCCAGCTCAACTTCCTCAGTGCCCTTGGGCCTGGCCCTCGGCCCTGGACTCTTCCCTCCTCTGCGCCTGCCTCCAGCCTTGTCCCCCAGGTGTCCTGAAATAAATTTCTCAGTCGCAGACCTTTCCTCCCTACTGGCGTTGCTCCTTGCCTATGAGATAGAATTCAGATCCTTGGGGCCCGTGAAGACGTGGACCCATTCCAGTCTCACTTCTTCCAAGCCAGACTGCCTGTCCTTGCTGCCCCCACCTTGCACCAGCCCTCGCCTTCTCCATACCCAGCAGTGCTTGGCTGAAGCATCCCACTTTGAAATCTCTCCCGGCACCGCTGCCGAGATTGCATCCTTGGCCGCATGCCCACCCCATGTTCCCTTTGTGTGGATCTGCTGCGTGGTTGCCACGTGTCCCGTGTCTCGTCTGCCTCTTAGCTGGCACTTCCACCTTGGACTTACCTTTACAGGCCCAGCAGTTTGCTGACTGCCGGTACACAGTAGGAGCATACTTTGTGGATGGAGACCGTTGGGACCCGCCCGCCCTGGGGCAACCTGCGCCAGCCACTGGCGTTTTGCTGGAGCCTAGTGTTGGGCTTTTGCAGGGCCTGGGCCATAATCCCCTCACGGACGAGCAGCTGTTGGCCTCACCCTGGTGGCTGACGTGGCTAGAGGTGAGCCACGCGGGAGCATTCCAGTAACTGGATGCCTGAAGAGCTGCTGCTGCACGGTACCCGGCATTGGAGCCCTGTAGGTTCCCTAGCACCGACACCTGGCCACTGGGGATCCCGGTAGTTACGTGAAAACTCTCCCCAGAGGACCCTGTAGTTGACAGTGAGTAAGAGATTCCTAAGTGCCTTTTTGCAAGACAAGTTTAATTTTAGGTGACTAAAGCTCCCAGCAGGGTCAGAGAAGGGCACCTTGTTTTGGAATTTACGGTGTTATGCACATTATCCCGTGCCGCGTGCTCCTTGGTCGGGGGCCCAGAGAGGCAGAGGGCTCCTTGCTTTACATAAGGCCCCTTTAGCCTCACAAGAGGGTGCAGACGGAGCCATGCACCCATGCTCCCCACCCACCCAAGGCAGGAGCCGCAGGGCCTGTGGGCTGTGCCGCTGTATCTGCGGGGCTGGCTCCTGGGCACCACCTTTGCATGACTTCTCTGTCTCCTGTGGGAGTTGGAGAAAGGGCAGAGTCGCTTTAGCCCCCATGAGCCCCTCCCTTTGTGTGTTGTCTGTTTCGGGGGCCAGGTGTGGTCAGGGTCTGGGACACTCCTGTGACTGGGGCTTGACGGTGGCCCACTGGTTGATTCTGGAGTGCTTTTTATGCCGGGCATCGTTCCAAACATTTTGGGATTTAATCTTTGCAGTGAGGCTGTGAGAGGGGAAAGATTGATTTTTACCCCCATTTCGCAGATGAGGAAACTGAGACTAAGGGAGGTGAAGCAACTTGCCCAAGGACGCCCAGGCAGACAGGAGCTGAGCTGGAATTTGAGCCCAGGCCACCTGGCTCAGGGGCCTTGTTCTGACCATGGTTTCCCATTGCCCAAGGGCAGAGGTGACCTGCAGGCCGGACCTGGCCCACAGATGTGTTCAGTCCCACAGTGGTTTGATTTGTTTATTTTTCATTGAGGTGGCTGTCAGCACTAAAGGTCAGGAGATGACACATAAAAATCTCATTTCTGACTCTCCCTGGCAAGTCCGCACCTCTGAGAGTTCTGGCCTAGACCCCATGGAAGCCATCCTCTAGAGGTGAAGGAACATGTCCAAGGCTGCCTCGCTCAGGAGGCTGCCCCGAGTCAGACCGGTGTTTGCAGGGCCCGGCTCCTGAGGCCGTTCACTGGGTCTCCTGCCGGACGGGTTGGATTACTCCAGAGCGATGAGACATTGGTCCTGTCTCTCCACTCTTTGCTTTCCTGCTGTGTCCTTCTTCCTCGAGGCCTCCCTCTTGTCCATTCCTGGTATTTCAGACTCACAGAGGTGGGCAAAGCATGGGGCTGTAGGAGCAGGCCCTCAGGGAGCTGACCCCACTAGGATTCACCGGCTCATGGTCTTTAGCAGGTTGGTGGCTTAACAGACAAGACATTGGTCTTTGACAAGTTTAATTTAGTGCCTTAAGATTTCACTCTTCGCGTATTTGCTGGAGATGTGGAACGCTCCAGCACGTGTTAGCTCCTGTTAGCACATTACTTGTTGGTGGGAGTCAGTGTGCCCATTTCCCAGGAACAAGCATCAAAGTGAGCTTAGTGCCACTGGTTTGGTGAGAGGATCTTGAAACACAGAAGTAAATGCATTTCACATGGAGTCCCGAAGTTCTGGTTTCCGCTTCTAAGTACTTTTTTCTTTCATTTTTACTTCCCCTGCTTTGGGGAGAGTAAAGACGGCACCATTCTTACCTAAAAGACTTAATGAAAAACTGTGAAGTTGTGGCTCTCTAAATATAATTTAAAAGATAGCGTCCATATGAACACAGGGAAGGCCATGGAAGTTTCTGTGGGGAGATTGGGCAAGGGGCAAGGGAGAGTTCAATTTTGGGATATGTAGCTTTGGATTGTTTTACTTGTTCAGGGTTTTGTGACTTGGTTCACTGAAATATCTAATAAAATTTAATAGAATTAGATTAGAAAGTTTGCGTAAAGGTGAATGGCACTCACAGAATACTCTTGGAAACGTTCTGGGGTCCATCTCCCTGGCCCTCCAGGAGGGCAGCGCAGTTGAGACCACTGGGGTAGGTCTGTGAGGAAGCAGCCCCATGGCGAAGCATAGCTCTGTTATCTAGATGCATTGCAAGAGGGACTGTGGGGCCTCGAAGGAAGGGTTTATCCACCGTCCTTCTAGGCGAGCCTTCGAGAGAGGCCTGAGCCCCTGGTCGGTGTGAGGCCTCTGTAGGGACAGGGGCCACCATGGCTTTAGCAGGGCATGCTTGGGCGAGGGGTCCCAGGGCTGGAAAGGAGTAGCCCAGCCTGTCCACCAGAAAAGACAGTGTGAGCTGCATCTGTGAGCTCTGTATGTAATTCAGACTTTCCTAGTAGCCACGCAATAAAAGGCAAACACGAAGCAAAGAGAATTAATTTGTGATATATTTTATTTAACCCAGTTTACTCCAAGTACTATCAATTCAGCATGCAGTCGATACAGAAAATTATTACAGATATTTTACTTTTTTTTTTTCATACCAAGTCTTCCAAACCTGGGGTGTACTGGTACTTTGTAGCACACCCAGGTTCACGCCAGCTGCATTTCAAGTGCCCAAGAGCCCCACGTGGCTGGTGGCCGGCATGTTGGGACAGCGCAGGAGTAGACCTTTCCTGAGTCAGGAAGGGACACTGCAGGGGTCAGCCTCAGAGGGGCTGTCCTGCCCCGTCTGACTCCAGCTGTGTCTTTGAAAGAGTAAACTTCCCTCTTCTGGAAGACCTTGGCAGTAAGCCTCTGTCTACAGGCTGAGGGGGAAAAGCAGGGGGGCTTGTAAACCAAAATGCTAACGGTGGGGTTCTCTTCCAATAGTGAACTCGAAGGGGGCTTTTGCTTTGTTTTTGGCTCAGCTGTAGTCAGAATGTTTTTTCTAGTGTGTCTAAGTTTACCACTAAAATTATTTCATATTATATACATATCTCAATGAAAAGGAGAAAGGCTGAAGGGAGCGTGCACCCCACCCCTGCTTCATTTTCGTGACACCCTTGAGCGCTTAGGTCTTTCAGCCTGGTTATTTTTACTCTCCCCAGCTTCACTGGGGTAAGAAATTCTACGACGAAGGTGCTCATAGCAACCAGCTCGCCCACGCCCCACATTCCCCCTGTTAAGGTATCATGCTGACTGCTTTGACTTGCGATGAAAATATTGTGACTAGTCAGTGAAAATATTGTGACAGGCCAGAGAATTTAGGGTTGCCATGGAAACCTTCCCCATTCATTGTCCTCAGTGAGGTGGGCTTAGCCGAAGGTGCCTCGGCAGGCTGGCCTGTTTCCCTTATGTCACTCCTCTGTGGCTCCCCAGTCAGTGGGCTGTGGAGAAGATCCAGGCATTTCGTGGGGGGGGGTGCTGCCAGGTGGGGCACCTCAGTTCACCCTGTCCTGTCTTCGAGGCTGCCTGAGAGCCTACAGTGTGAGTGTGTGCGTGTGTGTGTATGGTGGGGGACACCAGGAGCACTGCAGAAGTGACAGGTGGCTATTGGCCTCCAGAAGATCACTTATGGACTGACAAGCGGACAGGCCTGTTGTAGAAAGAACCAAGCCCAGCCTCCCCTCTCCTAAAACCGGCCTTAGGCTTCATAAAGCCGGAAATAGTGTTTGAACCCAGTGACTGGGAAGAGCCTCCTTCTGCCCTGGACCACAGAGATGCAGCCTGAGAGACAAGAGCCTTTGCTTTCTGTCCTCCTCTCATGACTCTTACGGCTCTGGGGTCTGTGTGCATGAGGGGCCGGGGCCGTGGGGCTCGGTCATGGCAGGGGGTTTAACCTTGCTGGGCCGTGTGGGGTGAGAACTGGACCAAGCAGTTTGCTGGAAAAATAAGGAAGGAAAAAAGTAGCTTTGGGGAAAGTATGCCTTGCTTAATTCTGTTCATTTTGATGATAACATAGGAGGGGGCATCTCCCCCAATCCAGGAAAACAGCCTTTCTTTCCTCGGGGACCTCTCCCCCTCTGCTCTCTTTGGGAAGTTGGGAGGACCGTGCAGGGACCCATAGTCTGGTCCATTTCTCAGTACCCCGAAAGAGCTTGGGGTACCCAGGCAGGCTCTGCACTCAGCCTGCACAGCCCCAGGCAGCTGGACAGCCCTCGGCTCTGCCTGGCCCTGCTGCTTCGAGGCAGAACCAGCTTGGTTGCTGGGTCTGAGGGTAAGTCCCTGCTCCTTCTCTCTCACTGCACAGGGCCCCCGGACTCCGACAGCCCTCTCTACCTCCCCTACAAGACGCTGGTCTCCACGGTTGGAAGCATGGTGTTCAACGAGGGGGAGGCCCAGCGGCTCATTGAGATCCTGTCCGAGAAGGCTGGCGTCATTCAGGACACCTGGCATAAGGTGGCCCCAACCCTCCCTGTTCTCCCCTTAGAGCCGGCGAGTTGCAGTACTCGCCTGGTCCTGGGGCCCCAGCCTACCCTGAATGATCCCATTGGGCTGGCCGTGAGTGGCTTGCTAAGATGCACAGAGGTCATAAAATAGCCTCCACTTGCCTCTCGGCAGAACACTGCCACCCCTGTTCAGACACAGGCTGCATGACTCACCCCGCATACGCTTTGGCTTCTGCCCCAGCCCAGCCGCAGAGACAGGAAGGCCGTTACAGGCCAGGGCCGGGCTCTGTGTTACACGCGCCTGAGGGGGCACACGGGAGCTGCGGCCCAGCTGGCTTGTGGCTGGGGCTCAGGTGCAGGACAGAAGGTGTAGGGACACACCGTGTGGTGGGGGGGCCCTGTGACGGTCTTGGAAGCACCTTCCTCTGCTGTCCCACTGCCACTGGGGGCCACCTCAGAGGCTCGCACTTGCCCTGTGGTGGTGGCGGCGAGTGAGCTGCCCCCGGGAGATGCTGTGTGGCACGTGTTTGTTCCTTATTCCAGAGTCGGAACTGTAGGTAATTGTGCTAGAGAATTTTGTGGCACACTAGTGGTTACTGATGTCGGGGGGGTGTCCTGAGAGCCAGGCCAGTGACCCCTGCCCTGAGGCCAGTGGGGCTTATTCCCTTCCTGGCCCTCGCTGAGGTGGACACATCGTGCAGTCACAGGGGAGCTCCTCCCTCAGCGGACTTGGGGGAGGGAAGGGTGTCTCCTGGCGTGTGAGTGACTGGAGGAGGTCAAGAGGACCCGTCCTCCAAGGAGACAGTCCCGGACTCACCTCAGGCCACTATCCCCAAAGTAGATCTCCGCTCCCAAGGTCTCCACACTTCAGCTAGCAGCCTGCAGGCTTCACATAGCAGCTAAGGGGTGGGCACCAGAAGCAGTGACTCATTGCCCCTCAGTGGGGTAGGAAGAGGCCCTGGCCACCAATGGCCCCAGTTAGTGGGAAACACCATGCCCCTAAAAACTAGCCCAGAGAACCGAAGCTTTTGGTCTAAAGAGCTCCTAAGTACAGTGGGCCTAGAGGCTTGGCAGCCCGCGTGGCTGAGGTCGGGGTGCCTTTCCCAGAAGTGAGTGGAGTTGGGATAGAACCGGCTCATCTAGAAGCCCTATCCCACTTGATCAGGGCCCTGCTCTCTCTTGTCGTGGGTCCTGGTCTGATTGCTGGAGCCCCTCTGTTAACACTGCTCTGTGGGCACTTGTAGGCCACTCAGAAGGGCGACCCTGTGGCAGTTCTGAAGCGCCAGCTGGAAGAGAAGGAGAAGCTGCTGGCCACAGAGCAGGAGGACGCAGCTGTCGCCAAGAGCAAACTGAGGGAGCTCAACAAGGTACACCAGCGTGCACGCCCTGTCCCGAGCACCCCCGGGCCGTGGCCAGTGCTGCCCCCGCATTGTGGGTCGGCCTTCCTGCCTTGGCGCCCGGCTTGGACCTGCCGGCTTGCGACTACCCCCCACACTGGTGCGTCTGTGGCTGGCTGGGAGCCTGACGACCTGCTGCCGGATTGCCTGTGGCAGCCCTTGGCTAGCTCTGTGGGGGTGGCAGCCCCCCCCATGACCACGTGACTAAGAATGTATGGACGTTAAATCGGGGCTTAGGGTCCTCAGTTTGTGATGGGCCATCTTTTTAGGGTACGTACCCTGAAAGGAGGTTGGGCCCAGTGGGTCCAAGGTGGTTTTGTTGAAAATTGGAGCAAAAACTCGTGGGGAGGGGAGTGAAGGAGCTGCTCTTCTCCCCTTTTCTGCTGTTTGTGGAGCAGACCTGCGGGGAAGTGGCTGGCTCCTTAGCATCAGTTGACGGCTTGCCACCCAGGTAACACTTGTACTTCCTGAATGACAGTCATGGGTCTGTGCTGCCACCGAGGGCTGGGGGCATCATTCACGATGTGTCAGGACACATGACACAAGGGGCCACTCCCCTCACCCCCCCCCCGGCCACCCCTGTCAGAACTCACTGGACTTTGTCCCTTGCCTCTCTCTTGAGAGCCCTACCCCTCCCAGCCCACCCAGTTCGAAAGCTGTCTTCTTCAGTAAAATTCTGTGGCTTGCTTTCACCCTCTGGCTGCTTACCTGCCTTTTCTGTCTGGGCGGTAGGCCCAGGGAGATGGCCTAGGACTGGTGATGTCCCACGCGGTCTGGCCCACAGCCCTTCCTCAGGGCCCCTCCATCTGCTTGTTCGAGAATAGTCGGAAACAAGGCAGCCTGAGTTTCTGACCCCAGTTGGAGGGATGTGAAGTTTGTGCAGTGGGGATGGCAAGAGCAGAAGATGAGCCTCTGGGTGGTTAGTCTTGGTTAATGCTCCACCCAGGAGAAGAAAAGAAAAAGGCAGGTCTCTGTGGCCTTCCTTAGAGCTCGGTAGGCTTCTGCCCGGTGGGCCCCATCATCTCTGTCAAGACTCTCCACATGCAGCCTTCATGTGAGCCTGTCTTGGCTCGTTGGTTAAATGCAGGGGGAGCCACTCACTCTGCTCCCAGGAGCTGGCTGTGCAGCTTCCCCACCTCGGCTGGTGGCGTGCCATGGGCCAGAGTGGATGGGCCATGAAAGAGGGCCAGCTGGGCAGCACACCAGTGGTTAAGTCTGTGGTTTTGGGGAGCCTTCCTTCTGTATTCTCTTTCCGGACAAACTGAGAAATCCCTGTGAAATTTGTTGGTTCCCCCCGGCCCCCCAAATAAAGGTCAAGTGAGAAGAACAGGAGCGAGCATTCCCACAGCTGCTCGGCTGTGTGGCTGTCTGGCTAGTTCCTTGTGCCTGCCCCCTTGAATTTAGGCTGAGCTGGAGGTGTGATGCGTGAGTGGGTGCAGCCTCTGACAGTCACAGTGGCCTGTTTCTTCTCCATTCCTGGGGATCTCCAGCCACCGAGGGCAGGGTAGCAGGTGCAAGGTGGGAGTGTACCCCACAGGAGGCCCCTTGGATGCTGCCCCTCATGCTGGACACTTACTGCTCTCTCTCTCAGTGGTGGCCACTTGACAAGATTTCCAAAACCACAGTGGCAGCCCACCTGATAGAGTAGCTCCCAGTCTGCAAGCTGCAGGGCTCTGTGAGACACGCGGGGACACCCCCTTGGTGCTCATTACCCATCCTGCTCTGAGGCGTCCAGCCAGACCCCCCCCTCCCCTGGCCACACTCTCCTCCCTGCAGCCCCAGGAGGCCCTTTTGGGCTCCTGAGTGCTGATGTAGTCCCGTGAGGCCCTCTTTAAGCTCTGCCAGTGGCTCCTAATCCTCAGACCGGAGCCTGCACCCCTGAGCACCCGCTCCATCCGCTCCCCCAACACGTGGCCTTTCGTTGCCGCCCCTGGGCCTCTCCTCCTGCCCCTCCCTTAGCCTCAAAGGCCTTTCACTGCATAGCTGGTTGGATATTTTCTCCTTATCCTTGAAGACTCCTTTGGCCTCCCTCCCTCGGGAAGCCTTCCAGAGCCCTGTTTTCTTCTCCCAGATTCCGGAGGTCATCACCGCAAGCATATGTCATTGTATCTGTCCCCTGTGATCCTGGCCACCTTGCCTGGCTCGGCCTCGTAGGCTGCTTGTTAGTGAGTGGCCACCGAGGCCCAGGGCCAGCACACAGCTCAGAGGAAGCCTTCCCAGCCCTGGGTGACGTATCTCCCCCAGGGCTCCGTGAGGTCAGCTGTAAAATGGGGATCGTGACCCCCATCTTACTGAGGGAATGGAGTGAGACACCCGCTTGTGTCAGAGTGGATGCACAGTGGTGACCACCTCTCCCGTTGCGGTTGATAATCAGTGAAGTGTCCCTTTGTGTTGAGCTCATGCTCCTGTGGGCTCGCCCCCTGGGCAGGGCCAGGAAGATGACTGTGTGACTGGTGAGGCCATGGGGTCCCAGATGGTCTCAGGGAAGGCTGGGCACCCATAGCAGCTCTGGCGCCCAGCGGCCACCGCATCTGCCTAGCTCCTCCCCTAGCCTCTGATTTGCTCCCGTCCCAGCCCCGGGGGACACTCTGGCCCTTGGGGATGTGTCTCCCTGGCAGCCCTGGCCTGGAGAGCAAGAGGATTTGCCACTTCTCTGGTCTCCTGCCTGGGGTAGGGATGGGACAGGGCCTGGAATCTGTGGGATGCTTCGTCGCTGTGGTCGCCCAGGCTAGTTGGGCCCACACCAGGTAGTTGTTAGCCTGGCTGGAGGCGCACTGGACGGGGAGCACCCCCAGCCCCAAGGGTCTCTTTGCATTAGCCTTCCTTCAGTTGTCACTCTGCTTCCCATGGCTTCCGGCCATTGTCATTCTTTCAGGAATGACATAGACTCCAGCCAGCCCATCTCCCTTGACCAGCCCTTCCCACCCTGTGCTCTGCCTCCGCCTGAGGCTTTGGGTCCTTGGGCCCAGCATCCTGTGCTCATCATGGGCATCTGACGCTGAGCAGAGCAGGTGCTCCCTAGGCTGGGTGGGAGGACCGAGCAGCTGCACCGGAGACCCAGGCCCTCCAGGAGTGGGGCCAACCCCCTAGTCATGGTGGGACAGGCATTGTCTCTTTCCCCACCCCAGCATCAAGACTCACTGCCTCTTCGGTCCTGATACCAGTCCTCGAGTAGGCCGTCCCGGGGCCTGGATGTCTGGGACCCAGCCTGGCCAGGGTGCTGTCACCCCAGCAGGGCTGAGCCAGTAGTCCAGGAGAGCGCAGGACCTGCGTGTGGCATGTTTACATAGCTTTCTGTGTCCGCTGCCTTCATGTGGCCAAAGCCTGACGTTGAGCCTCCAACCGGTGAGGCCAGCAGGGTTTTCCGGGGACCCCTCGTTGTCTCCTGCTGGTTGTCTGTGGCGGCCAGCTTGGTGTGTCTGGGAACTCAGGAGGGAGGCCAGCCCCAGGTGATGAGGTGATGTCTGGGCTGTGAGGACGTTGGTCCCACCTTGACAGGCTCCCGCCCTCACTCGCCTAACTGCCTCTCTGCCCTCTGCACTCTCCTAGGAGCTGGCAGCGGAGAAGGCTAAGGCAGCGGCTGGGGAGGCCAAGGTGAAGAAGCAGCTCGTGGCCCGGGAGCAGGAGATCACAGCCGTGCAGGCGCGCATGCAGGCCAGCTACCGGGAGCATGTGAAGGAGGTGCAGCAGCTGCAGGGCAAGGTGGGCCACGGCTGGGGGGCCCGGTCAGTGGGCGCTGGAGGATGCCCGGGGGGAGGGGGGTGGGGGGAGCGGGGAGCGGTCTTCAGAGGGCAGGAAATGAGGCTCCCTCAGGGCCATCGTAGGCTGTGGCTTGTGGCTCTGTGCTTGGTGTCAGAGCACTTAACACAGCTTCTTCAGAGGCAGCAAGCACGGAGCAGGCCTGTGGCTTGGGCTGAGTGCTCGTTGCCTGGAGGCTGTAAACGGAAGCGGAGGGGAGAGAGGAGACGCGTGCTGGGGATCCCCCCACCTCGATGCTGGAACTGGGGCAGTTTTAAGGGGTCCTCCTCACCTCTGGTGTGGAGAAGGTGATGCCCTTGGTACATTTGTCTGTGGGCTGGGACCTCACTGGCCTGGCTCCAGAAGCTGGCTCTCTCTGATGCCCCTTCACTGACTTTCCAGATCCGGACTCTTCAGGAGCAGCTGGAGAACGGCCCTAACACGCAGCTGGCCCGACTGCAGCAGGAGAACTCCATCCTGAGGGATGCCTTGAACCAGGCCACGAGCCAGGTGGAGAGCAAGTAAGCTCAGCACCCCCTTCAGACAGCACGAGGGCCTGTTCCTGGGGCTCCAGAGCTGGGGAGGAGTCCGCAAGCCTCCCTCGAGGCTGTGCAGGTGCACTCTATGTTCTTACTGGACGTGGGGCTGGTGTGGCAGCCTTGCGTGGGCCCCCCACATGAGCACATGGGGCTGGCAGTGCCCTTGCACACCCGCCCCGTTGAGGGCTCTGGCCTGACTCTCCATCCCCCCGTCTGGTTCTGAGTGGCCGAGCCTTCTGGTGCGTGGCCAGCATCCTCACATGTAGTCAAGGCCCCAGGGAGAGGTGGCGAGCCCCAGCCTGCCCGGGCCCAGTGTCCACATGATCAGGGGCCTCTCGGGTCCTGGCTGGTGCCAGCATCTGGACTTCTGGGGAGCAGATACTTCTTCCATGTCCGTCTTTACAACATCCTGATAGGAGGCTTTTCAGAACTTCTGATGCTGGCCCAGAGTATCAGGGGCTAGCAGAGTGTCCAGAATCAGAGTTCAGTGGGGATGTGCGGACCCTCTGTAGGCCTGAGCCCCTGGATTCTCCACTGGAGATGGGGGCTCCTGTGCAGGAACGGACATTTGCCTCTGACGCACTGGTAGTAAGGAGTAAATACCCCTCCACAGCCCTCGGCCCAGCTGGCTTAGCAGGGCTCTTGCTCTCAGCCTTGCCTGTCAGGAGCTCAAGTGCCAGGGCGTCCAGTAAGCTGGCCGACCCCACAGGGCAGCAGTGACTTCACCGAATGAAGGGCAGCGTGGCTCAGACTTCCTGATTTGAGCATTACAGTCTCAACAGGCTGGCCCAGAAGAAGTCCCACTGTGTTTTCTTTTAATTCACACTTTTTTGCGTTCTCTTGACCTGAAGTCTCCCAAAGGGACTTTCTGGGGTTCTGTGTCATCCCCAGAGCATCCCTGGTTGCCGAGAGGGGCGCTGACAAAGAGGGCACTGGTGTCCTCTGTCCTTTAGCTGCAAGTCAGGTGGGGACACTGTTGGACCAGGGCGGGGAGTCTGTGTCCGTGTGTTTAGTTTTGCCGGGGGCAGGGAGGAGCTGGGGCAGGGGCGGGCAGAGTCTGAGCTAAAGGCCTCCTTCCCCAGGCCGGTCCCTTCTGTCTGGAGGTCCCCTCTGGGTGTGCATGTGTGCATATCTTCATCTCCGGCCTGGCCTGTCAGCAGGCTGGGGGTTGGTTGGTGGGGGGTGGCTGTGGTTTCCTTAGCAGCTACAAGCAGAAGGTGAACGTGGGGAGGGAGGGACGCTCCGGCATCCCCTGTCACGTAGAATCCACTGCAGCCTCCTGAAAAAGCTAGGAGCCTGTAGACCTGTCACTCTGAGGTGGCAGCCACTGACTCATTCATGGAAGCTCCGCCCTGTGTGTGGTCGGTGGCACCGGGCCCTGCCCAGAGCTCCAGAGCAGTCCCAAGGGGCCGCCCACCGAGCCTCCCATTTCCGGCCCCAGGTGCTGGAGTCCAGCCTTTCCTGCAAGCCCTCCCATCTTGAATCTTGGCCTTCTAGAGCGTGAGCCAACGGCCCTGCAGAGGGCTTTGGGACGGCCACCCTGGTGCAGCTGGGAAAAGCCAGGTGCAGAGAGGTGGGAGCCACCTACTCCTTGACCAGCAGAGCACAGCTGCTCCTGGCTGGGCTTCTTGCCTTCACCTGGTCTGCTGCCACCTTGCAGGGTGGTGGGCAGTCTTGTCTGTCCCCTTTGTCTGGCCTGGTACTGGCCCTTGGCTGGACAGTCGTTCCTGCCTTGAAGAGGTGTCTTGTGTCCTAGCAAAGGAGGCCTCACACTGGGGAAGGCAGGTCTGGAGCTGCCTTTCTTCTTTGTTTAATCAAGTCTCCTTCCTTCACTTCTGGACTTGTCACAGGTCCTGAGATCCAGCTTTTGCGCAGTGTTGAAAGGGTCTGTTTGGTCAAGTGCCTCAGCCCCCCCACTTCCGGTGGCCTGCGGGCCTAGCTGTGGTCTAGTCGGCAAGGGAAGTGGGGTGCGTGGGTTCCGGCTGGCTGCCCCCTCCCCGCCCTGCAGGGGTACCATGGCCAGTCAGCCTGCGTCTGGAACTTGTTGGGTCCTAGATCAGTGAGGAGAAGGGGTGTCTTGCCCCTTTTCTCTGAATTTCCGGCTGTTTCTGGGCAGGGTTGCCTTGGGATATTGTGCACATTTTGCTCTTTGTATGGTCCGCACACCGTGCCAGTCGGAGAACATCTTCACCAACACACATCAGAACTCAACACGACTATAGAGTACAAGAGGCTTCGGTCATGGCTTCAGGACTTGGGCAACCACTCGTGAAAGAGCAGGTGCCCTGGAGGGAGGGTGCGCCCGCCGGCCCCCGTCACCCAGGGACAGCTCTTGGGTCCGGCAGGAGCGGACCCGAGGCTGCTTCTGCCCTGCAGTTGGGGGCTGGTGGCTGTCTTGCAGGCAGAACACCGAGCTGGCCAAGCTCCGGCAGGAGCTCAGCAAGGTCAGCAAGGAGCTGGTGGAGAAGTCGGAGGCTGCACGGCAGGAGGAGCAGCAGCGAAAGGCTCTGGAGACCAAGACGGCCGCCTTCGAGAAGCAGGTCCTGCAGCTGCAGGTGAGTGAGGGAGACGCCCCCTTGGCGCCCTGCGCACTCCGCCTACTCTGTGCGGAGCGGGGACAGACCAGAGCTTGCTCGGCCACCTTGGGTCATCGCTGGCAGCCAGGATTTTGGCAGCGGGCAGCCCATGCAGGGCTCGGGCAGGAACGCTCAGCCTGGGCCTCGCTAGTAACAAGGAGAACTAGGTTGCAAGGAATGGGTGCTTTCAGCGTGGTAAGGGTTGTCCTCAGTGCTCCGCGAGCATTAACTTGGCTAATTCTCATCCTAACCCCATGACGCAGGTGCTATTGTTATCTGTAATTACCCGTAGGGAAATCTGAGGCACAGAGAAGTTAAGTAACTGGTACCAAGTTCACGTAGAGGTGGGGTTTGAACCCTCGGGTCTAGCCCCAGCGCTGCTGGCCACCACCTGTGGTACCGCAGCCTCTGGCTTTGAGGCTGGGTATGTACTCTTCCTTCTCAGCCTCTGGCTGTGGCCTGGAGCTCTTGTCTTCCCAGGAGATTGGCTGTTCTCCCTCGGAGGAAGGTTGTCCCCATCCCCAAAGTGCACTGGGCAACATCAGCCCAGGGGCTTTGCTGCTTGTTGGCCTGATGACTTCTGGATCCCCCAGCTGGCCAGTTTGGGGGCAGGATGACTGGGTGTGGGGAGCCTTGATGTCATGCCTGCTGTGCATTTAACTTTTCGGGATGAGGAGGAAATGCTGTGGGCCCGAAGGGCTCTGGGCCCTTCTTCAGCTCAGTCACAGAAGTTGGGCCACAGCACGTGGGCCAGTGGGGCTGTCTTGTGGAAGGAACTAACATGACAGACATGAGGACTGATGCTTGGGTGTGTACAAGGGACTAAAAGGGAACACGGTTTGGATGGTTTGGGTGGCAGTGAGATGGATAATCTGGTGTGCGCTGATTTTCATGTAAGGGAGGTCTGCCCCTATCAGAACCGCCGGGGTGGGCCTGGCCGTGATTGTTTTAAAGGTTTCTGGATAGTTCTGCTTCTGGGGCTGGAACCTCCACTCTGGCCCCTAGCTTGCCACCATTAATGTGTGCCATTTCTAAAGGACCAAGGCCTCGGCCTGGCCCTCACCAGTAAGCCCCAGACTCTGAGCGTCTCCTGTTCTCCGAGGCCTTGGGCTCCCATCCCCAGCCTGTGGCCACAGAGACTCCCATCTCCTCCCTGACACCAGAGATTCTGGGAGCGGCCGACCACAGGTGGTGAGGGAGGGCGGGGTGTGTGGCTGCCTTCTCTGTGGTCCTGGGGTTGTCCATGAGGCCCCTGGTATCTGGTGGAGATTTCAGAGCCTCAGTGTCCCCATCTGTAACATGGGCATGACCGTAGTACCTACGTCATGGGCCGGCTAGGGATTAACCGTACCGATGCACACACAATGCCTAGAATAGGGCTTTCCCAGGAAAAGAGCTCAACAGATGTGGACCTTGGAAGGGCCTACATAGGAAATCTCCAAGTTAGACTGGAGGTTTAGATTGTGGGAAGCCTTTCTGTCTCAAACGGACATCGAAATGGGGCTTTTTCTTGTTTGGAACCACTCTTCTTCACCTGGGGCCCCTCCCCAACAACTTACTCTTCGAGTGCCGGGGTCGGGGGGCCCTCCTGGCGTTCTCAGTGGGTGAGCCAACGTCAGAAATCCAGGCGCATTTTATAATGGTTGTTGGGGCGGGTTGGCAGGATGTGAAGAGCTCTCTGTGGTCCTTGGCCTCAGAGCCAGCTGAGGGTCCAGCCTCCATCCGGCCTCCTCATGGCCTTCTTCCGTCTGCCCGGTCCCCAGGCGTCCCACAAGGAGAGTGAGGAGGCCCTGCAGAAGCGCCTGGATGAGGTCAGCCGGGAACTGTGCCGCTCCCAGACCAGCCACGCCAGCCTGCGGGCGGACGCCGAGAAGGCCCAGGAGCAGGAGCAGCGGATGGCCGGTAAGGGCGGCCCCTTTGCTCTGAGGCTCCCAGCGGGCCTACAGGCGTGTGCCAGATGTGGGTCTGCTCACCACCCCGGCCCCACTGCCGAGCCGGAACCCCCAAAATGAGCCAGCCCTGTTGGCGAGTGAGGCAGCGTGGGATCCCTGACTCTGCCCCTCAGGTAGTTGTGAGGTGGCGGTAGTGCCCAGCCAGGTGAAGGGCTTGGGCGGGGGGAGCAGAGCCGCCAGGACTGGGTGCCAGGGTGGAGCTTATGAGCGCTGGGTGCGAGGGGCAGAGCTTGCGGGCTGGGCTGGGGAGTTGGGGTGTGGAAGGTGCCTCCAGCTGGAGCCTCCCTTGCCACGGGGCCCGGCCTGGAGCTAGGGTTCTGGGTGAGCTGCAGCACCCCTGAGGCCTTCGCCGACCTTCTCGACTGCCTCCTTTTGGACCTTTCTGGCTTTGCTGGTTCAGTCAGCCCAAGAGGCCGGGTTTAGAAGGTGGGCCCGTGGTCTCCCTAGGCCTATAGGTGACCTTTGCCATCAGAAGAGTGTGGCGTAGTAGGGGGTGCCGAGGGCCCCTGGAGAAATAGAGCAGATGGGGCCAGTGATGACTCATGAGTATGCGCTGAGCACTGCCCTGGGCACCCAGGGCTTGGCCAGGAGTGAAGCAGAGGCAGCAGGGCCCCGTTCTAGCAGGACAGACACACACAGGTAGATGGCCATGCATCGACCAGTCACGTAGCGCTGAGCTCTGCAGACTTCGAGTAGCCAACATGACCTAAAGCAGGGTTGGTATGCTATTTCTTTGAAGAGCCATGCATGGGATCTGTCACATTTGCTCAGCTCTGCTGCCCTAATGCAAAAGCTTCCTAGGCAAGGTATAAACAGACAGACCTGGCTGTGTTCCAATAAAGCTTTATTTACAAAAGCAGATAGTGGGCCAGGAGTAGCCCTTGGGGTAATTTGCTGACCTCTGAATGGGCCAGGTGTGGCTTTAGATTGGATGATCAGGGAAGCCTCTCTGAGGCAGAGGGAATGTTCAAGCCAAGTCTGGATGACGGGAAGGGAGGGGCTGGTCTCATAAAGACCAGGAAGAGGCAGAATGGCCAGCATAGGGACCCTGAGAATGGGAATGAACTTGAACTTGGCCTGTGTAAGAAATAGATGCATAAGGTCGGCGTGACTGGAACAAGAAGGCAGCTGGCCAGTGTGGGGTCAGAGGGCAGGGCCCAGGTCACCGCCCCCTCCCCACCCCCATGAGGTTTGGGTGCTGTGTGGTGTGGTGGGAGCACTCAGCACCCCGACTGGGATGGAGATGGCATGAGCCCATTGTACTTCCGGATGCTTTGGCACTGGGTGGAGAATGGACCAAAGGAGCAGGAGTGGCCCAGGGGACCAGGGCTGGAGCTTTTGCAGTCATTCTGTTCAAAGGCAACAGGCTGGGCTCCGGCGGCCCCAGAGGTGCTGGTGAGCCAGGGAGGGATTTGGGAGGCAGTGGATATGGAACCCACGGGCCTCGCTGACCTGTGAGAAGTGGGGGGCACGGGGAAGTGGAGCAGCCAGACTAGGAGACTGGGTTGTTTGTCGGGAGTGCTGGCTTCCAGTTGCCCAAGCAGAACTCAGCTGATACAAGCCAGTCTCCCAGAGAACAAATGTTTAACAACTCCAGCTGGAATCCATTTTAAATTTCCAGCATTTTCCCAGGAGTGATCCGAGGGCATCGTGTGTCCTAGAGAGCAAAGGCAGAGGTACTTTGTCCATTAGCTAGTAAGATGCCCCAGTGGTCACAACTCTGTCTTAGCAGCCTAGGCACACAGAGGGGGCAGGGGAGGGAACCCTGGGTGCTGTGTGCAGAGGAGAGGTGGTGGGGGTGTCCATCTCAGTGTTTCCCGCCCCTCTCCATCCTTGCTGTCCTTTCTCTCAGAGCTGCACAGCAAACTGCAGTCCTCCGAGGCGGAGGTGAAGAGCAAGTGCGAGGAGCTGGCCGGTCTCCATGGGCAGCTCGAAGAGGCAAGGGCCGAGAGCTCGCAGCTCAAGGAGAGAATCCGGTCCATTGAGGCCCTGCTGGAGGCAGGCCAGGCCCGGGACACCCAGGCCGCCCAGGTCAGCCTGTGGAAGGGGAGGGAGAAGGCCATAGTCCATCCTGCCGAGTAGAGAGGGCTGACAGTGGATGGGGCCCTGTCCTGACTAGTTGGCACGAGGGGCTGGTCTCACAGTGACCACGGCGCTTTTTGTCTCTCGTTCCAGGCCAGCCAGGCGGAGCAGCAGGCCCGGTAAGTGGAAACGGAGGGCCACAGCCTCAGCATGGGGCAGTCAGGCTCTTGCCTTTCCCCGCTCCCTCCAGTGGCCCTGAGGACAGGGAGCAGACCTGGGCGGGAAAGAGGGTCATCCTTGCAAAGAGCTCCTTGCCTCCTCTGGAGGAGCGAGACTCATCTGTGTGGAGAGTGGCAGGTGCCTCAGCCAGGGTAGTTTGCTGACCTCTGAATGGGCCAGGTGTGGCTTTAGATTGGATGATCAGGGAAGCCTCTCTGAGGCAGAGGGAATGTTCAAGCCAAGTCTGGATGACGGGAAGGGAGGGGCTGGTCTCATAAAGACCAGGAAGAGGCAGAATGGAGGCAAACCTTATGTCTCCTCCCGTCTGTCCATCCATCCGTGTCTTGGACGAAGGACTAGCTGGTCAGAGGGTCTCCAAGGCGAGCGAGGGTTACACACCCAGATGGAGAACCCAGGTTGGGGGAGGGGGTCACTCGGCTTTCTGCCCAGATTTGTGATGTCAGTGCAGTTGGGAGCTAAGTCACAGGATTGTCCACAAGGTAACTTCACTGCTGACAGACATTGTTTTCTCTCGGCATTGGTGAGTGACCCAGCACCAGGCTGTGCTCGGAGGACTGTTTGTTTGCTGTTGCTAAGGCTGGAGCCGACACCTGGGGGGAATGGCTTGAGTTGTGGGGCTCAGAGTCCCTGGCCATCACCTCTGGAACACGCATCCCTGGGCAGATGGCCACAGGCTTGGGAGCTGGGTCCTGGCTGCCATGGCCAGGGCTCCACAGGGTAGCCACCGGCAGAGAGGCATGAAGGGTGGCCCAGACTGTCAGCTGACAAGGTTCCCTGGGCGGCTGCCAGTGAGTCACCCTCCCTGTGCCTCCTCAGGCCCTGGCCCCTGGTTCTTTCTTAGCTTCAGGCTCTGTGTTTGGGGGCTGAGGAAGGAAGCCAGAGAGCCCAAAATGCCTTGTGGAAGACCCAGAACCAAGCTCTCCATGTCCGTTTCCCAGTGTGCTGCTTCACAGAAAGCTCAGGTGGACTTCGTTTCTCGTGGTATTTGTTGGAGCAGAGAGGTGTTTGATTAGGGTTTTTTGGGTTTTGGGTGTTTTTTTTTTTTTTTTGCTTTTGTATTTTAAGATCAGATTCTTGGACCACACGGGGAGCACACAGCAAATGTGTAGGGTGCTTAAGTCACATTGCAAATATGGTTAATCCTCATTTTTTGCAGCGTGCAGATGTGTTTAGCAGAAATTGGTTTTTTAAGTGTTCTGAATTTGTCAGAAAATTGTGTCTAGGTCAGGCCGTCCTGTTCTGGGTGGAGATGAGTGATCCCACCCAGGTGTTCTGGAACTCGGGCAGTGGCCACCCGGGGGGGTGATTGTCGGCGTGTCCTTGCCACCTGCCTGCTGCCTCCTCCTCCTCGGGGTCTTGTTCTTTTGGGTTTGCTCATGGGGTGGTTTGCTGCAGGCGCTTACATGACGCAGGGGGATTGAGGGAAAAGCTGTGAGGGCTCCCGGCACAGCTTCAAGGATGGGGTCAAAGGTTCCTTGGGCCTGAAACCAAGACCCAAGGAGTCAGCTGACTTGAAGGCCTTCCTGACAGCCGGTTTGGAGTAACGAGGTGAGGCAGTGCCATGGTGGGAGCCGCTCCCAGGCAGGATGCTCAGCCCGCACTTAGATTGCTCAGCCCTAAGATGCGTTAGAATGGGGGTTTTCAAAAACGTTTTTGACCGTGGCCCATGAGAACAAATACAGATCAGTATGTCCTCATTGGGCTGGCAGTGGCCCCCTGAGGCTGGCAGCCGCCCCTTCTGGTGGGCACATCCTCGGGTGGGGGCTTCCTTCCCAATTTCAAGTCCAAGTTAATCACTTCTAGACTTTAGATTTCACGTGTTCCTCGGACCTTCCCTGTCCTAAAACTTAATGTAGAACCTGACATACGAAAGTGCCTGTTTGAAGCCTGTTCCTTGGAATGGCTAGTCCAGCTCCAGTAGTGTCAACCTGTCACTCTGTGGGCGATGAGGGCGCTCGAGGCCCGCTGGGCTCTGGAGTGTGGAGAGAAGCGTGAGAAGATGGGACTGACACCTCACCTGTGCCACGGTGTCGGGGGCCACCTGGGGCTGATTCCCTGGGGCCTTTGGGTCTCCGCAGACTTAGGTTTTAGATGAAGGATGGTTCTGCTGTACCCGGGGGAGACCAGTAGCATCCAGAGTCTTGGTTGGGGGCTGGGGGGGAAGGGGACAGCGCCACATGAGTCTCCTGCTCAGTAGTCCCGTGAGAAGGCCCCGCCCATGTCTCTGGAGGGCCAGCTGACATGTTCTGTGGGGACAGAGCAGGACCAGGTCGAGCAGGAGCTGCGTACCAGGGGACGGGGCTCAGTTCACTAGAAGAGAAAGCTGGCTGGGTACATCCCTTCCCTGGCCACTGTGGCTGCTCTGACCTCTGCCACCCCAGCGGCCCGTGTCACCAGGCAGAGCTCTGGTGGCCTTTTGGGGCTGCATGCAGCCAGGCCCCCGGGCCATTGGGATGAGTGGGGAGGATGGGGCGGGGGTGGTTCCTTGGGCTCCCCTGAAAGCTTGTGCCCTGTGAGGTGGTTGGGGGCAGCGGGAGTGGACTGACCCCAGCCGAGTGGCTCAGGGTGGGCGTCTGAGCAGCAGAAGGGGCCCTGCGGAGACAGGGCCTGGGGACACTGTGGGCACTGGGAGCCCAGCGGTGCCGTCCCTCTCTCCTTTCAGCCTCAAGGAGCTGGAGTCCCAGGTGCGGTGCTTGGAGGAGGAGGCCACTGAGCTCAAGGAGGCCGTTGAGCAGCAGAAAGGGAAGAACAACGTGAGTGCTGAGGGGCACGGGCGTGAGGCTGGGCTTGTGTGAACCGCAGCCCTCACTCCTCGGGAAGGGGGTCGGCTACCTCTTCACGTCCCATCGTGCTGCTCGTGGCTGGAAGCCTGCCGACTTCCGGGGCTTGGCGAAGCCTCCTTTCCCCTTGGGTCCATCACATTCCCAGGGCTGCCGCCCACTGGGTGGGCTTGGGTCCTGTGCCCAAGCGAGGAGCCCCCTCCCCACCCATACTCCCAGCCCTTCATGGGGTTGGGATGTCCCGCTTGGTCTGGTCTGGGGCACGTTGGTCGCCTTGGAGTGGGGAGGCTGGTGTCGGGAGAAGGGGATAGAAAAGCCCCTTTCCTCTGCAGGGGTTGCAGAGGGGTCTTAGCTGCATCCTCCCTGCCAGGCTGCCCCTCACTGCTCCTCACACAGCCCAGGCTCGCTGGCTGCCCCATCTGCTCTTCCCCGGGGAGCCCCCGCCTGCACCTCCCTTGGCCTGGCATGGCCAGAGCCACTCAGCGGTGGCAGGAGCCTCTGTCTGAGGAGCCAGGCTGACCCTCTCTTCTGTCTCCTTCATACTAGAACCTCCCGGAAAGGACGCGCACCTCCTCACGCCCTTGTACCACAGCCACTCCGTAGCGGGCTGCCCCAGGGAGGCCCGCAACATGGGCCAAGAGAAAGGGCATTTTGTCCCTTCGCAGCTCCCTGTGGGCTCCCAAGTGGGGGTCGGGGACGGTCCTCCCTCCCTGCTGAGCCTGGCCAAGGCAGCTTGTGGGGGATGTGTTGGCGGCTGCCCCCACCTGGCCACTGACCTTTCCCACATCTCCCCCCCCAGGACCTCCGAGAGAAGAACTGGAAGGCCATGGAGGCCCTGGCCTCGGCCGAGAGAGCCTGCGAGGAGAAGCTACGCTCCTTGACCCAGGGCAAGGTCAGAGAGTCCTGCGCGCTCAGCCTCACCTACTGGCTTAGCAAACCACATAAAACACACAAACTGTACAGAGCAGCCTTGGCCGTGGAGCCTCAGGAACCCATGCCAGGGGCCCCGGGGCCATCAGACGGTGTGCCCTGTGCCCCTGCACCTTCCTCCTTGCCCTCCTCCTCACCCTTCCTTTGCTTCCTTTCTCCTTGAGATGAAGGGGGAAACGTACTCTTGGTGCTTTCTCTCAGCTGGGCCCTTTGCAGGCAGGGCACAGAGACAGGCGGTGGGGGCTGTGTGAGTGAGTCCAAGGTTGGGCTGTCCTGTGGACTTGCTTCGTGTTGTTTCCCCCCCGCCACTTTCTCGGGGCCTCTGCAGTCGTGGCCCTGAGGGTTCTGTGACCGGGCTTTACAGTAAACCAAAGAGGGAAGGCTGTCTTTAGCAGCAAGCACTTGGTCCCTGGAGCCCGATGGGTCCCGAGCTCTGCGCCACCCAGGTGGGGGGATTGTGGGTGTCTCTGTGTCCAGGGCCCCCACGTTGCCTCTGGAGCCCTGGGCCGAGAGCCACTGCTGAACTCTGGTGGGGGGGGGCGGGGGGAAGTGGCCCGTGCCGGTGGCCAGTGAGGGCCTCGCCCACCCCCTCTCGTGGCGTGTGTCCGTCCTTGATGAGAGGCCCCGGGCAGCCAGCCCTCCCCTCCCAGCCTCGCTCATGCAGAAGGCATGTCTGTCCTGTTATCATGAGCTTTGCAGGGACTTTCATGAGCTTCCCAGGAAGCCTGAAGGTTGTATCAGCCAAGGCCCCAAGTCGAGGTGGGAGGTGGAGAGCTGGCCTCAGGTCCTGCTGGGGCAGTTGTCCGGAGACTCCCCAGGGGTGACCCAGTAGCCTGTTGGCCTTTTGTGACAAAGGCAGGAGCTGTGACGGGAGGCGGCGCCTGGCTTGCTCCCAGCCATGCAGCTGGCCTCCAGGGCCTCTGGCCCTGACCTTGGACTGACATGACCCCCGGGGTCTGACGGGGGTCCTGAGGTCAGGGATCCACAGCAGGCCACTGGCATTGTCTGCATCACTGGGTGAGCCAAGAAGGGTCTGCTTCTGAGACTCGCGTCCAGCTCCCATGGGTGCTGTGGTCAGGCCAGGCATCTGTTGGGCATGCACGTTCCAGAACGCCGCTCGAAGGCCCTAATCCAGTCGGAGTTCTGGTGCCCCCTCGGGTTTCCAGCTGAGCCATGATCTTGGCGGGCCAGCAGCAGGCTCAGTCTGCCAGTGACGGGTGGTTAGATAAGACTTTCTTTTAGCCAGAAACCTCCCCGGGGTCTGGGGAAGTGGTATTATGTGTCCCCAGAGACAACGTGTGCTGTGCTGGGCTTCGTTTCATAGCCCCTTCCATCCTCCTTCCATCGCTTGCTTGCACTTTGTGCTGGAGCCTTAAGGAGGATGGGTGGGGTCTGGCCTGGCACAGCCAGCCAGGGTGAGTCAGACTTCAGAGGAGTTGTGACCCCCACGGAGCCCTTAGCCCTTCTGGGTGGGTTCCTCCCTTCGCAGATTGCGGCTGCTGATCTTTGCCCCTCTGTGGCTGCTGGGCATGGCCCCTCCTGGCCGGCGGTAGCCCCTAAGTGGTGGCCATTGGGACATGCACCTCTCCTCTGTCTGTCTCCTCCCTGGCCCCCACAGCAGCTTGGTCGTCCACGCACGCACATGCACGCACACACAAGCTTGTGTGGAGAGCTCTAAAATTGACAACCGATTGTGGGTGGGTTCCTGCTGGGAGGTGGCAGGGGAGCCTGCGCCTGCCCCGTGGGCTAGCTTGCCATGTCCCTCCAGCCGAGCGGAGGTCGCTTAAAACTGACCCAGCACAGGGGCGCCAGGGTGGCTCAGTTGGCTAAGGAACTGCCTTTGGCTCAGGTCATGATCCCGGAGTCCTGGGATTGAGTCCCACATCAGGCTCCCAGCTCAGCGGGGAGCCTGCTTCTCCCTCTGACCCTCTCCCCTCTCATGCTGTTTCTCTCTCTCTCTCTCTCTCTCTCTCTCTTAAATAAATAAATAAATATAAATATAAATAATAAATAAATAAATAAATAAATCTTTAAAATAAAAAACTGACCTAGCACAGGCCGTGGCCAGAACCTGTTGCCGAGGTTGAGCCCCACCCCACCGCCCCCATCAGCCCCATGGCGCCTCCCACCTTCTCCTTTGATCCTGTTCCCCCCCCCACAAAGAGCTGAGGTGGGGCCCAGTCATCTCCACAGACACGCCCTGGTGTTGCCCCAAAGCGCAGGGCTGAAGGCCACCCTCCCCTCTCCTCCAGGAGGAATCAGAGAAGCAGCTCAGCCTGATGGAGGCAGAGACCAAGGAGGCCCTGTCGGCTCTGCTGCCGGCGCTGTCCAGCTCAGCGCCCCAGGTAGGAGGCGGGGGGGCGGCCCCCGGGGGACCCTGCTGTCCGGAGGGAGTGTCTCTGGGCCCCACCTTGCACGTGTGGTTGCAGAGTTACACCGAGTGGCTGCAGGAGCTCCGAGAGAAGGGCCCCGAGCTGCTGAAGCAGCCGCCGGCTAGCACAGAGCCCTCATCGGTGAGCACGGCTGCCCCCCGCACCCCGCCCCATCGCCGAGGCCACCGCTGTCCCCTTTGCTGGACCCTGGCCCCAGCGCCCAGAGTTGTCTCCTTGGGCAGCGGGGCGAAACCTTTGTGTCTGGCTAACCGGAGCCCTTTCTGCCCCCAGGACCTGGCCTCCAAGCTGAGGGAGGCTGAGGAGATCCAGAACAATCTGCAGGTCGAGTGTGACCAGTACCGCACCATCCTGGCAGAGACGGTAGGGCTTGTAGCTGGGCGTCCCTCAGGGGCTGCAGGGAAGCTTGCAGAGCCTGCAGGCAGGAGGCGGGTCGGTGGCCTTGGGGAAGAGAGCCCTGGGTTCAGATGCTGGCTCTGTGTGACCTTGGGCAAGTCACAGCCCCTCCCTAGGCCCCATTTCTCTGGCTGAGCGGTAAGGGGGATGAGGGAGGGGCTCAGGCCTTCACCGCTTCTGAGCTGAGGAGGGGGCTGGGTTGCGGGTTTGGGGCTGGCCCTTCGGGGGGTTGGGGTGCAGACAGCCACGACACGGAACAGACTGGGGAAGGAAGAGATGAGCGTGCGGCTGGTGGCCGGCGTGAAGCCCCACTGTCTCTGTGACTTCAGGAGCCATGCTAGGTCCAGCCCTCCTGCCTGACCCCATCCCGCGCTCCTTGCCCCGGGACCGCTGAGGTCAGCGCCGGTGGCAAACCCCCGTGGGGCCCGCAGTCTGCATTTGCACCCTGGCAGAGACCCCACTCCGGGACTGACCCCCCTGCCTCCCGCCGTGACACCGTGACAGAATCAGCGCAGCCATCCCAGGGGAGCCGGGGGACAGGACGTGTTCATGGGGTCAGGGTCTCCGGGGAGGGGGCCAGCCTCAGCGTCCCGTTCCCCTAGGAGGGCATGCTCAAAGACCTGCAGAAGAGCGTGGAGGAGGAGGAGCGGGTGTGGAAGGCCAAAGTGAGCGCCACGGAGGAGGAACTCCAGAAGGTACAGGAAGGGCCCTGAGACCCTGTCCCAGGGTCAGTGACACAGGTGTCGCTTGGGGGGTGGGGGTTCTCCTACCCTAGGAATTCAAACATAACTTACCAGAGACTCACAGCTAGGTCAGAAATTATCAAAACTAGAGGGAAAGCCCATGGGGGGGCGGGGGGGGCGGTCCCGTGGGTCTCTTGGGAGACAGGAGGCGAGTTTGCTGGGTTTTGGTGACACCACATCAAGTGGGACTGTGGAGTGACAGCTGACTCCTCAGTCTCAAGAGCCCCCCTCCCCCCAAGGAAGAGGCTGCTGGTCACCCTTGAGGTGGGCGGGCACCACTGGGCTTTCCCGGGAGGGGGCCCATCCTGCTTGGGTCCTGGGACCATCCCCTTCCAGGGGCTCAGGTATGATGAGGCCTTCCCCTTGCTTGGCAGTCACGGGTCACAGTGAAACATCTGGAAGGCATTGTAGAGAAGCTAAAAGGAGAGCTTGAAAGTTCAGAGCAGGTAGGTGCGGGGCTCTGCTCGGTGGGCCGCTCTCCTTTATTACAGAGGCCCTCATAGTTATTTTTCTCTCGTGGGCTGCATGTCTTGAGGGAGGCGAGGGGGTCTTGTCAGTCCTGCTTTTCCTCCATGAGAGCCGCTCACAGGCTCCGCGGCCCGAGGCAGCCGTGGGGCCCCGGTGCACGGCGGCTTCTGCAGGGGGGCCGCGTCGCAGGAGGAGTGCGAGGTGGCCCCAGTGCTCTCTGCAGACACCCCGTCAGCCCCGGCCTGCTAGAGGGTGCCCTTGGCATCCACCTGGCAAGCAAATCTAAAGCCCTCCTCTCCGCCCCTGCTGAGGCTGAGAACTCGTCTGGGCCCGGGAGTTTGGGAAGGTGTTTTGTTGCCGGGGACTCGTCTCTGCCTGTCCTTGGTTGGCCTGTTGCTGACAGGCCATGGGTGGGCTCCCAGCCCTTACCCCTGGGCAGCCAGACTTGTCGCCCTGTCACCCTGTTCCCTGTGGTCACTGCCTGCTGCGGGCGCACTGGAGGCATCTGACGCGCGTGTGCCCGTCCAGGTGAGGGAGCACACCTCACATCTGGAGGCAGAGCTGGAGAAGCACATGGCGGCCGCCAGCGCCGAGTGCCAGAACTACGCCAAGGAGGTGGCGGGGGTGAGTCTGCCTGTGGGGTCCCCGGCCGCTCGGCGTTTCTCCTCCTCCCTTGGCTCGATCTCACCTGAGCGCGGAGTCTGGGTTCTCAGGCTTCAGCCCTGGCCTCGGGCCGGCTGACCGAGGTGTGGCAGGGGGCAGATTGCAGTAAGACGGCCCCATGGACAGGGCAGCCTTCTGAGGAGAATTCTCTCCCTGGCCCGGGGACACCGTTTCGGGGGCAGATGGGTTTAAATCTGATACTGGTTTCTGGCTGCTCAGAAGCCGAAAGCACAAGCCTGCCCCCTCCCCGCCATGCTGGTTTGATCTCAGACTTCAGGCCTATTTTACAAGACAGTCTGTAAAGGAAAATCCAAGGCAGGCATGTAGTGGATTCTGTCTTCCCAATGTCTTCAAGAAAGACAGTGGTTCTGGAACGCCTAAGAGCGCCCGCCTGCCTGCTGTGCTCTGATGTTCTCGGGTGGTGGGTTACAGCGACGGGTCCTGTTCGCTTGTCTCAACTGGTTTTCTCCTTTTCCCCGTCACCTGGGTCCATTTCCTCTCCAAGTTGAGGCAACTTTTATTAGAATCTCAATCTCAGCTGGATGCAGCCAAGAGTGAAGCCCAGAAACAAAGCGATGAGCTCGCCCTGGTGAGTGAGCGTGGAGAGGAGCGGGTGTGTGCTTGGTTAACTGGCCAGTCGTGCTTCTCCACCCCGTCGAGGGTAATGCGGCGTGGTGGAGGGGAGGTGTGCGCCGATCCAGCATTAGTGGCAGGCTTTTTTTTTTTTTAAAGATTTTATTTATTTGACAGACACAGCGAGAGAAGGAACACAAGCAGGGGGAGTGGGAGAGGGAGAAGCAGGCTTCCCGCGGAGCAGGGAGCCCGATGCCAGGCTCGATCCCAGGACCCTGGGACCATGACCTGAGCTGAAGGCAGACGCTCAACAACTGAGCCACCCAGGCGCCCCTAGGGGCAGGCTTTGATGGGTCCTGCTGGAGGGGCTGCAAGCTGGGGGGTGGCTGCCGGGACCAGTGCTCACGCTCCACTTCCTGTGGCCCTGGGGGAAGGGGCTGGGAGCTCAGGGCTGGGGCTGGGGGCAGTCCAGCTCCCTGTGAGCCCTGTGGCTCAGACCAGTTCGGTCAAACCTGTGGGTGTGCACGGAGGCCTGCCGTACCCCAGGGCGGGGGCCGGACAGGGGTGCCGCCTTGGCAGAGGTGTGGGGCTCCCTGCCGTGCAGGTGGCCTCAGGTCCTCCTAGCTGTCCGCTTTGGTGGCTGACCCGCTCCCTGGCCCCTGGCGAGGTCAGCCGGGCCTCACGGAGGCGGGCCTCCCCCACGCCAGGACCAGCCCCGGGCCTTCGGCCACAGCCCGTGCTGCTGGATTTGCAGCCTTTCCTAAAATCTTGAGTTAGTCGTTTCCACTTAGAAATTGGCAGTTTTGAAGACAAACACACGTCTGGTTTTTGGAGAGGAGCCGGCAGATCTGGTCCGGGGTGCGGGCACTTCCCCAGCAGCCACCGCCGAGCCACGAGCAGCCCCTGCACTGGGGCACACGCTCCAGACCCCCCAGCATGCCCATGCTTATTCAGGCCTCACCCAGGACCGGCATACCAGAGAGCGGGCACCATCCGGGCCGAGTCGCCTGAGCCCGAGGGCCACTCACCAAAGCCATGATGGCCTACGCCAGGTCTGGGTGACGGGGCCTGGGCGTGCAGCCCGGGTGGAGGTCATGGGCAGAGAAAACCCCTGAATTTATCATTACAGGCCTGCGCATCTTGGTGTCACCTTTGGGGGGGCTGCTGTTGGGAGGGAGGGAAGCCGGAGGGCAGGTCTGCCGATGTCCTTTGGCACAGTGCCTCTTGGAGGGGGCCCGAGACCACCCAAGGCCCCTGGGGAGCTTGTACTGAGGGCCCATCCTGATCCCGACTAGAACCTTCACCCGAGCTTCGTGGGTGATGCAGCTGCTGCTTCAGATCGGAGGCCCTGTGGCCTGGGGGCCCCCCGGTGTGTCACCTGCCCCCCAGGGGTGGAGCCCTGATGTGAGGGGACCTTATTAGGCAGGTGTCCTCTCCTCATCTTTCCTAGACCCTCAAGAGGGCTCTGAACAGTTGACTGCATCTGAAAGGGATCCGGGACCTAGGCGGTGCTGTTTGTACCGAGCCCGTGCGCCGCCTCTCACTTCCTTTTCGGTTCCTTAGCTCTGTGTGTGCCACGTCCGTCAGCGGTCACCTTGCTCCGCGGAGGGCTCAACGGCTGGCCTTGGAGCAGAGCACAGGGATGGCCCCTAGGCCTCAGTTTGGCTCTGGTGAGGGGTCATGGTTGCCAGACCAGGTCCCCCACGGGGCTTCAGCCATCGGGAGCATCTGCTGCCCTCCCAAGGGGGTCTGTGCGCGCGCGTGTGCACGGTGGCCCTGTGTCCAGCTGTGACTGGCACAAACCCCCCACCCCTCCCTGTTTCAGGTCAGGCAGCAGTTGAGTGAGATGAAGAGCCACGTAGAGGATGGTGACGTAGCTGGGTCCCCAGCTGCCCCCCCAGCAGAGCAGGACCCCGTCGAGGTTAGGGCGGTGAGCCGGTCCCCAGATGTCTGTCACTAACAGCCCGTGTGGGCCCCCTCCCGCCCATTTGGAGAGCAAGGGCGGCAGGCCTCTGTTCCGGCTGAACGCTGGCTACTCGTGGCCTCCACCGCCTGCTCTGTCCTCCCCCCGCCCAGCCAGGGGCCGCCCCGGTTCTGAGGAAGCCCCAGAGCAGAGGAAAGGGCAGGAAGTGGCCACGTAGAGAGGTATCAGGCGCTGGATCCTAACCATGTGTGCGGGAGGGGTGGGAGGGCGAGTCAGGGAGGCTGGGCCTGCGGTTAGGGAGTCTGGTCTCTGCTGTGGCCCTTGCTGCGATGTCCCTAGCAGGGCACTTGTTCTCCAGACTTCTCACCCAAATAACTGTGGTTGAGAGCCCTCCCCAGGGGCCTGTCCCCAGAGGAGCAGCTGTGGGGACAGAGTTGTGTGGCTGGGGCTTGCACCGTGGCTCTCGCTAAAGGCACCCAGGGTCAGCAGAAGTCCTAGTAGCGCCTCTCTTCAGTCCCCCAGCTCTGTCCCTGCAGCCTGAGGCACCATCTCCCCAAAGGGGGAGCTCTGGTAACGGGGGGCAGCCAGAGGCAGGGAGAGGCTGAGGGAGCGCCAGTTGCAGCTAGAAGGTGGAGCCTGCCCAGAGCTGTGGTCCCCGCAGGGGTCCTTCCCCAGCTTCCCACAGTCTGTGTGTGGTGTTTCCACACAGCTGAAGACGCAGCTGGAGCGCACGGAAGCCACCCTGGAGGGCGAGCAGGCACTGCGGCAGAAGCTCACGGCCGAGTTTGAGGAGGTCAGGCCCTGCCCCTGCAGCCCCCGGTGCACCAGGGCCAGTGGGGATGGGGGTCGGGACTCTGCGGGGCCGTCGGGCCTCGGCCCCCCCCCACTCCTCCACCTTGAACCCGTGTCCCGCGGCGGACCTGTGGGATGTGCCTGTGGGGTGTGCAGGGCCTCCTGCCCATGGCCCGCTGCCCTGTCTCCACCAAGGCTCAGAGCTCGGCGTGTCGGCTCCAGGCAGAGCTGGAGAAGCTCCGCGGCATGGGGTCCCTCGAGTCTTCAGAAGCAGAGGAGGTCTCGCAGCTGAAGGTAGAAGTGGGGCGGGTGGGTCAGGAAAGGAGGGCCACCGGGGGCCGGCTCTTGCCACCAGCTTCCCAGGGTCACTGGGGTGGGAGGGGGAGAGGAGCCCTCTTGAAGCCCCTTGAGCAGGGTCCAGCCTCATTTGGTGGTGATGGGGGGTGGCGGGATCCCTAAACCCCCAAGGTCACGCTGGGCAGCCACTAGTCAGTGTGGCTATGTCCAGGAAGTAAAACTGTCACAGCAGCCCCAGTGCACCGCGGGAGCTCCCCAGTGTTACAGGAAGCTGCTGGTGGGGCACGGACCGCAGCCGCACGCCTCTGGAGGACTCCCGGTTTGCGGGCAGCAGGGCCCTTTGGGCAGAGCCAGGTGCTCCTTCTGCTGTGTGCCGCGTGTTGGCTCATCCCCTTGGACCCTCTGACCCCCAGGAGAGACTGGAAAAAGAGAAGAAATTAACCAGTGACCTGGGACGCGCTGCCACCAAATTACAGGAGCTTCTGAAGACAACCCAGGAGCAGCTGGTGAAGGAGAGCAAGATGGTGAAGGAGCTGCAGGGGCAGCTGGACAAAACCGTGAGTGTCCCAGCCCTGCCCACAGCCTCGGCTCCCCCAGCCCCTGGAGGTGGGCCCGCCCCCCGCAGCAGGGAGGCCCCAGAACTCCTGGACTGCAGGGCAGGTAGGAGACCCAGGCCTGGGGGCGGGACGTAGTAGGGACAGCCTCCTGAAAGCAGGTGGCAGGACCCTGCAGCCTTCCGGACCCAGCCCCCATCCTTCCGCAGTCCTCCTTGGTGGGAAGTGCATCCCTGACGCCCACTGCCCACTAGGTCCTCACTCTGCACAGCCTGGGGTGCCGGGGTCCTCACCCAAACTGAGGGAGGACCTCCCTCTCCTCCTGCCGGCTCCCCTTAGCCTGGAGTCCGCTCTGGTTCTCCGGACTTGCTGGGCTGGGTGTTCTCAGAGGGAACGGGAGTGGGGTGGGGGTGTTAACCCCAGGGGGACTGTAGGCCCCTAGGAGTTAGGGGTGAGCACTTGCCTTGGCCCCAGCCTCTCCCTCCCTCTGCCCACCTTTGTTCACAGGAGGAGAGTAGCAGCTCAAAGGAGGGCACATCTGTCTGAGTCTCCTCTTCAGGACGAGAAGTTACTGTTCAACTTACCAAAATGCCTTACACATTCCTTACAAATAAATCAACCAACCAACACAGCGTTATCAAGGCCCAACCTCCAGTAGCTCTGAGAGAAGCCATTAGAGACGAGAGTCTCTTAGAATCACAGAAATAGATCTTCCAGACCCCCTGTTTGTAAAAGAGCCTTTGTCACATTTGATAAACACTATTCCCCAGGACCAGCCCTGGACCACCTCCGAGCAGACGCCAAAGCCCTTATCAGCTCTGTGACAGACCCCAGGGGATGTGCTGGGGAGGCCGGGACCTCTGGGTATCTGTATGTCAATCAGTGCAATTGTTTTCTTTCCCTGGGTTGGGGGGTCAGGAGGCGGGCGGCCCCGGGGGAGAGTCTCAAAGGCTGTGGAGCAGACTGGAGGGTCACATCCCAGCGAGGCAGCAGCCCCTCACCCCTGGGAGAAGTTGCCAGCAACAACGGATGTGTGACCTCCTGGACGTTCATGCCATTAAAACCAACATTGTCGCCCGGCGGTTTTGGTCTCGTCTGGTCTGCTGGGGCTCCCCGGCCTTGTAACCATGCTGTGTGGCACCTGTGTGTTGCAACGGTATTGGGATCAGGGTGCTGGAAGTTTGGGGAAGGCTCCCCAGAGAAGTGAGCTTAAGCTGGAGCTCACCAGAGCAGGAGGTGTCTGTCAGGATAGGGGAGGAGGGCTCATGGCGGAGGGGACAGCAGGTGCAGGGATCGGTGGCGAGGGCAAGCAGGCCTCGTGGAGCCAGCTTACGAAGGACAAGGCATCTGGACAGGTAAAGCAGTAGGAGCCCCGAGATTTTTAAACAAGAGTTGACCATCATACCTGTTCTGGCAGAGAACTCTGGAGGGGGCTGAAGTGGAGAGGGGAAGCCCACAGGACTTGACTTGGGACGCGGATGCCACGCTTTCTGGCAGGAGACTGAACAGGAGAAAGTAACTAACGATACCTGATGCTGACCATGTGCCCAGCCTTGTGCTTGGTTCTCATGTGAAACCTTCCAGTCCCCACGGAAGGTACACCCCACGCCCCCCCTTTTCTGCAAAGAATCAGCACAGAAGTGAAAGCTCACCTAGTAAAAGGCAAGGCAGGTTTCAAACGCACCTCTAATGTTTGTCAGTGTATCACTCAGCCTGGGGGGGTCAGCTGGAGGGGAAGAGTCGACTTTCAGAGACCATGGACTCCATGAATAGTGGCCGAGTCCCCCCCAGACCTGTGGCCCCTCACTGCAACTTCCATGTGCCCTGTGCATTAGGAGCAGGGACTCTATGCAGAATGACCTGCCCCCGGGGAAGCGGGGGGGGCTCACAACTCCCACCAACAGTGGGTGGCCTTAACCAAGGCCAATGGTTTAGGACCCTGGTCAGTCTCCTGGTGGGAAACTGAGGCCTGACCTGGCCCTGCACCAGACTCCTGCGTCAGAAACGTCACCATGGCCTTGTGAGCATACATTTCTAGTAAGCTCCCGTCCCCCTGCCACACTGACTGCAGAATTGAGAACCCTTATGCTGGGCAGATGCCCTCTGAAGGCACAGGAGGGGCGGACCTTGGGGCAAGAAAGGCATGGGAGAGAGACCTGGGCAGGACCAAACCCGGGGCCAGCTCCCTGGGTTCTGGCTCCAGCCCTCAGACCACCTGGCAGAGCCCCTCCGCTGTCTATACCTGCCTCGAGGAGGTAAAACAAAGGCGGGCACGATGCAGGGTGGGGGCACCAGGAGGCTGACCTGGGGGCGCTCAGGCCACCGTGGAGACCTCCTGCAGCTCAAGCTCTCAGGGCCCATCGTCGGTCCTCAGCAGAGGGGACCCAAGTTCCGCTAAGCAGCCCGCCAGAGCTTGCCTCGGCCTGGCCTTGTCACCAGGGCTGGCCTGGGTAAGGTCCCAGTGCCAGGCTGGGGAAGGAAGAGCCATTCAGGAAGATAGTGGAGGCAGCTGCCTTCGGTAGATGCTAGAATGCGGGGGTCTCAACACCCCCCACCCCCGGTCTTCCTCAACATGGCACAGACGCCCGGGGCGCGTGGCTCGTGGGCCTGGCCGTTCACAGCTCCCTGTCCTGCAAATGCAGGGCCCCTGCAGCCTGGGTAACTTGTAGCCCTATGCCCTGAAGGCTGGTGCGGAGGCAGGGACCGCCCAGGCCGGCCTCGAGCACTTGCCAGTGAGCTGACGCTGGCCCACGGGGCTGCTGACAGGAAGCACCGCTCTCCCCTAGGCCGCGGCCCAGGCGGCCGGGCTCGGTGCTGCCGCCGCGTCTGACACACACCCCCCCCCGCCCCTGGCCCCCACCAACAGTGCAGCTGGGAGAGTTCTGAGAGCATCTAGTCTCTTATCGTGCCCTTCAGAGGCTCCCAGATGCGACCTGAAGCTCCAGGGTCACGCAGCCCACGAACAGCATCCCCAGACCCAGTAGCCCCGTCGTGTGAGCAGCGCCTCTTCTGACCAGCTTCCTCTGGTCATCTCTACATGATATCCAATAAAACGTACAGACACCAGGATGCCTGGCCTGCAGGCAGCCAAAACACAAGATTTTAGAAACCACTAGACACCCTCCACAAATGCCTTCTGAGCTTCCTTCAGATTTGGGTCTAACAGGATTCAAAGCCTGAAAGAACTGTTACCTTCCCTGCCCCAGTTCCAGCCTCATCCCTGGCACTGAACAAGATCTAACCTTAGAATTTCAGATGTTAGAAATGAAGAACTCTCCCAGGGCGCAATGAGAATAGCTTAGGGCCAGAACAAAAGATGCAAGTTGTAGCCCCAGTTCTGCCTCTTACGAGATGTGTGACTTTAGGCAAGTGGCTTGACCTCTCTGGGCTGCCCGCTGGGGGCACCAGCTACAGGCTGGCAGGTCTTCTGCGCAGAATCCAAGGACAGACCTGGCCAGCCAAACAGCTCAGGTCACACAAGCTTTGCTTCCAGCAAATCCCTGGCTCCTGGAACTTCACCCTCTCGCAGCCACAATGCAATCATGGGTGACCCTCGAACAACACAGGGGTTAGGGGCATGGATGCCCCCCCCCCCGCCCTCGCACAGTGGAAAATCTGTATTACTTTTGACTCTCCCATAAACTACAAATAGTCTACTCATGACCTGAAGCCTTCCCAATCACAAACAGTAGATTAATGCATTTTCTACGTTATGTGTATCACACTGTATTCTTACAATAAGCTAAAGAAAATGTTTAGGGCGCCTGGGTGGCTCAGTTGGTTAAGCGACTGCCTTCGGCTCAGGTCATGATCCTGGAGTCCCTGGATCGAGTCCCTGCTTGGCAGGAAGTTTGCTTCTCCCTCTGACCCTCCCCCCTCTCATGTGCTCTCTCTCATTCTCTCTCAAATAAGTAAATAAAATCTTTAAAAAAAAAAATGTTTAGGGCGCCTGGGTGGCTCAGTTGGTTAAGCGACTGCCTTCGGCTCAGGTCATGATCCTGGAGTCCCGGGATCGAGTCCCACATCGGGCTCCCTGCTGAGCAGGGAGTCTGCTTCTCCCTCTGAACCTCTTCTCTCTCATACTGTCTCTCATTCTCTCTCAAATAAATAAATAAAATCTTTAAAAAAAATGTTTAGAAAATCATAAGGAACATACATTTATAGTCCTGCACTATAAAAAATCCACTTATAAATGGACCCACACAGTCCAAACCTAACCCAACCCCTGTTGTTCCAGGGGTCAACTAGAATGACCCTTCTTACAGCTGTAGCCCAGCTTGAACTCGGTCTGGAAAGTGTTGGTCTGTATTTCAGAAATGCCCAAATCATGGGAAAGTGGTATGTCCCCTAGGCATATCCAGTCTGAGAGTCCAAAGAGCAACAAACCAGCCAAGAAACAGAAGCTGCACTTCCTATGTGTGACCAGCCAGCCCTCTGGGCAGTTCTGCAAAAAAGGAAACCACTCCACTGAGCCTAATTCTATTATCCGAGTCGCTGTGCTCACTGTTTCCTAGGGGATTAATACTCTCTGAAATAACAAACTTCATAGTCAAGCTCTGAATTTGGTCGCAGTGGCTTTGTCTGCTTCTTTCCCAGGGCAAAAGAGTATCAGCAGATGACCCTTCAGTCAGCTTTCCACAAACATACTTCTGCACCGTGTCTGCACTTGTAGGAACGTGAACGTGCTTCTGGAAAGCATGTATACCTGCAGTTTAATTCCTCACCAGACTCCCGCTGAGTTCTTAGACTCTCACTTGGCATCAGAATGACCTGCAGTCCTTGTTAGCAGAATTCTTGGGCCCCCACCTCAGGAATGCAGTAAGACTCAAAAGTTCCCCTAGGTGGAGATAGAAGTAACTATTAGCATCTTCCCAATTTCTGGCCGGAGAGTGGAGCGGTGGGAGAGGTTTACGTTCTCTTACATCCTTGCACCCTGTGTGAGACCCTCCCCATAGCATGCATCGCTCTCCCACCTCCCACCCCTCTTCACCCCCCCCACATGCAAATGCACACACACCAGCAGGGAGTGCTGGTTCTACAAGAAGTGCCACATGCCACAAGCTGACACCACAGAAAAAGACTTCCTCCTTCTAAAACTCCTTGACCAAACACATGACTCTACCTACATGGCTGATTCTTGAGTCAGGCAGCCGTGGCCTGTGACGCTTCTTGGGAGGCCTGTTAATAGAGACTGTTGCTGAAAGCACTGCTTGGCAGTAGAGGAAATCAGAAATTCAGGATGAAAGAATGACAAGCAGAAGTATTTTGATTTAAGCATAACTTTTCTGCCTCCCAAATAAACTGGAAAGGAAATAAAAGCTTGGTATTTGGATACACATTTGAAGAAAAAGATTCCCAGCTTTTTTACACCAACTTCCTCATTCAATAAGAGGAGGAAGGAACTGTGATCTTAACTCTAATTGTCTGAAATACCCAAACCTCCACGCCTTATCCAATTTATGGAAGGCCAAGTCCTTCATCCCCAATTCCCATGTGAATAATTACACAAGAGGTAAGTTAAAAATGCTTCCTTTATTATATAAAGCCAATACTGCTACTTCTAAGTTCCACTGTGTGCATCTCTATATTGTTCAAAGTGTTATGCCTGTGATGTTAAAGACAATCACTTCCAAGTGTCATCAGGTAGTGGCTTCCTGTGGGTGTCATCCATTATCCCTGCTCCCCATCCCACATACAATCAACAAACTGCTCTAGGAAATTAGGAAGTTCTCCCAGGCCCCAGCATACACATATACTTAGTGTTCTTCCACACCTTACTGTACCAGAAGCAACAAAATTCTGGAGACACAGTTGTTACAGGTGCCCCAGCTTGTCAATACACCATGTTATCATCTTCATTAACAAAGTGTAGTAATTACAATGGAGGCCTAATTTGCATTATAATTAGTTGTTACAATGTATTGTACATTCTCCTGAGGACACACCATGATTTTATTTCCAAGATGCAAGGTCACTCTCCGAACAGTCTCCCAACTAGCAAGTGGAGTGCTCACTGCAGGTGCAGGGAGCTGCTTCCTGCGTTCCAACTGCATGCTCAAAATAGTGCTTTGCAAGATCAG